CTCTGCCCAGTCCCATGGGGTCACAACGAGCTGCCGGTTGGCTCAACGGCACCCACCAAGCAACCCACAACCTTGACGTGACCACAGTTAGAGCACACACCTTGGAGCCCCTAGTTCACCTGAGTCCTGCCCTCCGCGCCCGGCCTCACAGGAGAGCGAAGATCCGCCAGGGAATGAGCAGACACACGGCACACACCCAGAGTCTCCACTTCCCAGGACCCCCCAACAGGGCTTTCCGTGCTGTCTCACCACCCCTCCAGCGACCACTCAGGGGCGGGGTGGTGAGCTAAGGACCCAGGGGTCTAGTCCTCTAAGGAGGTTCCTGCACCCAGGAGCATGCAGGTACCATCTAGCAGGTCCACAGGATCAAGAATTGGGATGACGTGGGCTTCTGGTGGCTTCAAAGAAACCCGAATGCCCAGCTACGGAAGACAGAACCGTCCGGGTCCGTCAGTGCACGCGGTGCCGGGAAGGCACGCCCTGCAGGACACGTCTGGAGGCTGAGCAAGGACGGGGCAGCGACGGGGGCTCACCTTCAGCCACTGGCCCGCCTGCTCCCGGCTCTGCACCGCGAGGACCAGGGGGTCCGTCCCCGGCTGGGTGATGCGCAGCTCGTGCTTCTTCTTCTTGCCGTCCTTCGGGACGTAGGTGATGCAGCAGCCCTGGAGGGGCACTTCCATCTGCGGCTGCTGGTCCTTGGAGCTTTTGTAGCACTGCAGGAAACACACAAACCAGTGGGCTCTGGGGGCTTCGCAGGGCGGGCAGCAGACATACTCACGACCCGGAGCGAGAGAGCTCGCGCCCGGCAAGACCAGCAGCCTCCAACAGAACGAGGAGGTCTCCGCGATTGCACAGTGCACCTCCAGGGAGCACTGCCCCTGTGGCATTTTACCCCCCCCCCCCCACGAGAAAACGTGTTCACTGCTGCTGAGCGAATATTGACAGGCACCTAGGACGTGGCTCTGCCCCCGGGGAGCTTACCTCTGCGGCGTTCCCCCACCGAGTCTAGCACAGCCCCCCGGCGGGCGCAGCCTAGGGATCAGATACTTATCTTTGCAGCCATCTGTCACCCCTATCCTCCTAGCTCTCTGAAAGACGGGCAAACTGCGTTACTGTCGCGATCGTGTTACGCACAGGCACGGCCTGTCAGAGCTCTGTGCTTTGCTGTGCTTCACAGACATTTCCACAGATTGAAGGTTCATGGCAACCCTGTGTCACGTGATTGATCAGTGCTACTGCACACTTAACAGGCTGCCAAAACCAAACCCAACCCACGGCCGTTGAGTCGATTCTGACTCACGACGACCCACACTGGGTTTGCGAAGTGGTAAATCTTCACAGAAGCAGACTGTCCAGTCTTGCTTGCTCAGAGTGGCTGATGCGTTTGAACCACCAACCTTCTGGTTAGCAGTTAGGTGCCTAAGGCACTGGGCTACACCAGAGCTCTAACAGGCTGCAGTATAGCATAAATGTAACTTTTATAGGCAATGGGAAACCAAAAATCGGTGCACCTTGCTTTACTGCAATACTCGCCTTGTTGCCATGGCCTGGAATCGGACCTGCAGTATCTCCGAGGTCTGCCTGTACAAAGACACCTGTAAAGGTTTCCTTTCTAGTTGAGCAGAGAATCCAAAACTCAGCCTCTCCACCTACACAACAGACCTTCAAGCCAAACATTTCAATGGTAAATTTGGTACCAAGAGGTAGTTCACAGTGCTCTTGCTTAATCTGTCTGTAAAACTTTGAATTAGAGCTTCCAAACAGAGGTCCCTGGCAGATTTAGGGTGACGGGCCAAGGACGAGGCCTGACCCCATTTTGTTACGAGTTCCGGCTTCTGCATCACGCCGCGGGTTAGGTGCAGGAGCTGTGGAATTAAGGCTCTGGACCAAAGTAAAATGGCTGATCTAAGCCTGATTCAGACTTCATCTCGACTCCTGCTAACGTTTTGAACAGTCAGTGATTCTGGTGGAGTTAAGAGCCTGAGACAGACATGTTTCCTCCTTGAGCTAAAGGAAGGTTCTGCCCCCAGCAGGTCGACCCCAGAGACACCGCAGGTTCCACCGCAGGCCACCGACCCCAGAGACACCACCGGTTCCACTGCAGACACCGACCCCAGCGACACTGCTGGTTCCACTGCAGGCCACCAACCCCAGAGACACCACTGGTTCCACTGCAGGCCACCGACCCCAGCGACACTGCTGGTTCCACTGCAGGCCACCGACCCCAGAGACACCACTGGTTCCACTGCAGGCCACCGACCCCGGAGACACCACGGGTTCCCCTGCAGACACCGACCCCAGAGACACCGCCGGTTCCACTGCAGACCACTGCAGAAAGTGAGCATCACAATGAAGACAGCTGCGTGAGTGCTTTGGTTTCCCGGGGCATGTGCTATTGCACTGTTGAGGGTGCAAAAAATGCAACAGTGCGATAGCACATGCTATTGATGGAAGGTTTGAAACATCGTGAGGGTGGCCGACAGGGGACACAGAGACACCAAGTGAGCACGTGCCTTTGAAAAATGGCGCCCACAGGCTTGCCTGAGGCAGGGTGGCCACAAGCCTCCAATTTGTAAAAACGCACTATCCACGAAGTGCAATAAAAGGAAGTGTGCCTATACGTACAGGATTTCTCCTGCAACAGTCATGCTCGTAGGCAGACAAGTACACGACAATAGAAGAAACATTTTTAATGTTCTTCAGGGGGGTCTTGACACCAGACCCTTCTCACAGTCCCCTCCGCAGCCCTCAGGAAATGTGCAGGATAGTGCCTTGTCATCTCCCCGTAAAACCCCTTTAGTTTCCAGCTGACCAATCCAAAGAGCCCATGTGCATGTTTCCAGCCAATCACCATACACCCTCCTCTACCCTGAGCTGTCCCGCCTCCTGACCTTGCAAGTTGCAACCAGAATAGTGCAGCCCAGTTCCTGGTTCCACCCTCCATCTGTTCCCAGGAAGTGCCGCCCCGGGATCGCTTGGCCCTCACTCTGGGGGCTAACATCTCCCCCACTTGAATGTTTCTTATGCTTTCAACAGATCTCTTTGTTCCATTTTATCAGAGTCTGAGAGCGTTACTCTGGGGTAACTCAGACCCAATATTTGTCTGCGGTTTCACCCATCTTTTGTTTCATGTTATAATTTGGGACCCAAAGCACAGCTCTTGTTGGAAAGACAGCAAAGGCATTTAGCTATCTGGGTCCCAGTTCGGCTCTTAATTTACTTTTTTGGTTCTTGGAAAGTTTCTTAAGCTTTCTCAGCAAGTTCTGTCATTTGCATTAAATTATCATTAACAAGGACATCTGCCACCAAGTACTGAATGCCAGCAAGACTTAAGGCTCTCACACACATCTCAACAATGCCGATGTCCGCCTTGCTGGTGGGAAGGCAGGTTTGCACTGGTCAAGGAACTGGCCCAAAGTCAAGGCAAGCTGAGAAGTGGTCACCCTAGGACTCTAGTCCAGAGCTGGCACCAGTCACACTAAACCATTCATCGATGAAGGAATGAATGAACAGATGCCGTGGTTTCTAGAATCCTTTCCCATTTTACAGTTTACCTTTGAAAAGTATCCTGTGTTTGTGTTTTTTTTTTTTTTTTTTTTTTAATTCAACTGATGCCTGCCTTGTCTAAAGAGAAGAGGAAACACCCCAACTTGGGTCGTTAGGCACGTTCACCGATCGTGCACGTTTTGACGACATGTGGACGAGGAGTGGAAAGGCCACTGGTTACAGTCCATGGGCGGGGCAAGAGGGGTCAGGCTTCCATTTCCCTTGAGCCAACTGCCTCTGAACGGACAGACGCGTGGTGAGCTGTGTGACAGAGCGCCTGGGGCAGCTCCGGACTCCAGGGCAGATGGAAGCAGGCCCGTCACGCTCAGGTGGACTGACTCGCAGTGAGGCTGTGTGGGTTAGAGCGGAACGCACTCAGCTGCCAACCGGAAGGCGGCAGGTTCAAGGCCATCCACAGATGCCATGGAAGAAAAAAATACAACAACAACAACTCACTGTCATCGAGTCGGCCCCGACTCATAGTGACCCCTCCTTGGGTTTCTGAGGTGGTATCTCTATGGAAGTAGATTGTCCAACCTTCCTTCCGAGGAGCAGCTGGTGGGTTTGAACCTCCAGCCTTCTGGTTAGCAGTCATACCTCAGGCACTATGCCACCAGAGCTCTCATGGAAGAAAGGACTGGCTACCTACTCCCCAAACCAGCCACTGGCCCCCACTGAAGCCCACTCTATTCTGAGGGTCTCCATGAGTTGGGGTCAACATGGTGTCGCTGGCTGGGTTTCGTGGTCTGGGTGCCGTGTAAACTGGGGAGGCACCCGCTTTGACCACTCTTCCTTCACTGTCTTTGTGCTGAGGACTAACTCTCATCTAACGCCTGGGAGCGGTCCTCTTCTCCACCTTCAGTCTCTGCACCTCCTATCCCCAGAAGAAACCCTGGGTGCCAATATCATCAAGTTTAATCAGTGCTCAGTTACATGATACAAAAATAATTCCAGAACCGCCTGCCCACATGACTGAAAAAAACTGACCCAAGTCGCCTTGAGAGTCCCGTACAGCCACCAAGCATACAGACCCAAGGGCTTGTCCCTGGAATTACCCCATGGGCTCCTCCACTTCTCTCTTTCGAAGTGCCAGCAGGGGTAACTTGGGCAGCTGGGTCACAGGTCACTTAAGCATTGTAATAAAAATAATGAACCTCAATTCTGCATCTCTACCACAGCTGCCACGTGGCTTCCATCAACTTCCTATTATGGACGTCACTGCTGCTGGGGTCCCATCCCAGGGAACAGGTGGAGAGCAAAGGAGGGGGGCAGAGACAATACAGGGGTGGGGGAGGAGGGCGGGAGAGGGCAAGGCGACCCCGACAGGTCCCC